TGTTGTGATTGGCTGATAGACTTGTGCCTAGCTGTACCGAGGGTATGGTTTCCTTTTTTTCTTTTTTCCACTTTGTTGTTGTTTTAGGATGAGGCAAAGGCAGAGACTTCACTCTTTTGTCTTAAAGCACTTGTCTTTTTAAAATAGTTTTCTTTAAATTTTTCCATGAACTTGTTCAGCTGACAAAACTTCTCCGGGTGACACACTGAAGGGCTCCCGAGCCCTCCCCAGCCATCCTTGCTTTCCAGGCTTGATTCCTCTGTCACTTCTGCATCTGGTGGTCACTGTTTGACCTGAAGGCTGGAGCTCACCGTCTGTGGCTTGGTTTCCAGACCAGTTAGGATGACAGGGCTGCATCACTCTACTGTGTGGGTGTCTGTCCTCAGGGCACGCTGTAGGACTGTAGGCATTAAAACAGGATCAGTGTTTCCATCAGGTTCGCCTCTCTGGGCCATATCACACTATTTTGTGTATTAATGAGGTTGTATATCATATGAATTATTAAAACAAGCTTGGCTTTTTGCTTGAAATGAGCAGGATTGCCTGACTGGGCAGCCAGCCCTCCCGAGGCACCGGCTTCCTTTCATTGTTGAATCCTACTCAGTGTAGCTTTTTATGTTCCAAGGATCAAAGCCGCAGGGGGAGAACTTCATGGGTCTCTACTTTGCTGGGGAAGGGAATAGTGATTTTAATTTCTGTCATCAGATACCAAAAGTTATTTCAAATACACTGCAGCTGAAAAGGGGGGTGGGTGGGGGGAGTGGCAGCCTACCTGCCAGTCAGTGACAGTAACTCACAGCATGTGCTGCCAGGCAGTGCTTGTAATTGTTTGGGATTTACAGACACGACAATGAGACATAGTTTGCAAATGAAATATTTACTTTTACCCATCATGCTTGCAAGCTGCTTTACATCCATCATGTTTGCAAACACTAGTGTAATTCCAGCTGTTGGAATTAATCCTTTTATAGGTTCTGTTAAAAACTATCATATGATAACAAATCTCATTGTATTTTCTTTTTGTTTTTCCATTGACTTTTTCTTGTTGTTATGTGCACTCATGAATAAGAATCTCTCGGTGTTTGAGATGGGACTAGAATAACTTACTGCATCATTCATCTGGTTAGGGTTAGAGTTTTGCATCCTTTTCATTTCATAATGAAACGAATCCACCTACAGACTGCAGAGCAGAGCAAAACTAGGATCCGAGGTGTTTTTCCACTTGCAGAATCATCTTGCCAGCAGGCAAGGGGGAACCCTGCTGTGCCACAGCCCCACAATCTGAGGTTTCCCCCACCGCGGCTGAGCCTGCGAGGCTGACACACGGCCTGGCTCTGGCCAAGTTCCCAGTGAGGAATGCACAAGGCCTTCATTCCACCAGTGGCTTTCGCTGGCCAAACACAGGTGTGCTCATCTCGTGCACTGAGCCATCAGGCTCTGTGGCGTATCTGACACAGTCTGAGTTTTACTCTAATTTCAGAAAACTTTTCTTACGCACTTTGGGATAAACAGTTTGATCGCTTGAGCAATTTAGAGTATCCCACTAGCTACTTGTGGAATGTTGCAAATAACATGATTATTCTTAATAATTACATGTAAATATACTACATGAAAAACTCTGAAAGATTTATCTGAACAGCAATTAATTATGTGTGTTGGGACTCCTAAGAGCAAAGTCAGTTGTTGCTCTCTTAGAAATGCTTTGAATGAAAATCCCTGGTGATGAGAATTGGTTAAAAACGCTAATCTTCAATGCAAAATGGATTGAAGATGTACACAGAAACCCTGAAACTATCAAACTCAAAGACGAGAGCAGGAGAGATGCTTCTGGATTCTGGTCTTGGCAGCGATTTCGTGACTAAGAGACCTGAAGCATAGGCAGCAAAAGCAAATTAGGCCGGTGGGGCCATATCAAACTAAAACGCCTCTGTGCAGCAGAGTGAAGGGCAGAACCGAGAGAGTGTCCGTGGCCAAGTTATGTGGGGCAGGATTGATTTCCAGAATATATAAGGAACTCCTGCAGTTCAGTATCCAAAAAGCCAGGTAACCCAGTAAGAATCAGCATGAAGAGCTGTATAGCTAGTTCTCCAAAGAAGACCTACAAATGGCCAGTAGGTAGGTACACACAAAGTTACCTTAACATTACTAACCACTATGGAGATGAAATCAAAACCATGGTGAGATGTCACCTCAAACCTCTTAGGTTGGTTATGATTAAAAGAAAAGGAAAAAAAAATAGCAGGTGTTGGTGAGAATGTGGAGAGATTGGAATCCATTGCATTGTTGGTGGATGTCGGGGTGTTCCGGGGAAAATACAGATCTACCTGGTCATCTGGCAGCAACTTCTGGGTGTCTGTCCAAAAGAATTGAAGCTGGTTCTTGAGTTGAAGTCTGTGCTCCTGCGTTCACTGCAGCCCCATTCACGGTACCAAGATGGGCTCACAACTCAGTGTCCAGCGTGACTAAGGAAAACGTATGATGAAATGTGATTCAGCCTTAAAAATGAAATTCTGGAGGGCCGGATGCTACACGAAAGAGGCAAGTCACAGAAGGGGAAACACTACGATTCGATTAGGTGAGGACCCCAGGATGTCACACTCAGACACACACAGAACAACAGTGGCCCGGGGGGAAGGAGGGTGGGGAAGGTCTCTCAGAGCGCTTGTACCGTAACCGCGGAGCAGCACCGGCCCCCGCCCTGCCTGTACCCCCCAAGCTCGTGCCTGTACCCCCCAAGCTCGTGTGCACAGGACCAGCAAGTGGCTGGTTGAGGACAGGTGGAGGTCGGCCATATTCTGGTCTTTACTGAGTCTGCAAAGTCTTCCTTTGATTTTACTCAGCTTTTCAAATGCAATTTGACCTAAACACGTGGAAAATGTTTTCAACTAGTTAAGACATTTTATTGATAAAATGGTAAAATGCCTCTTCTTTGCCAGACCGACAGCAAAGCCGAGTCACTTGAGGGACAAGCTGGAACATGTTTTTCCTTTCGGAAGGGCTTGCCCTTTCTGCCAGCTGGGACGTAGAGATGTGTGCACAAGTCTCTTTGGGTTATTTTAATTCCCTTCGTCGTTTAAAATAGAAACATGCGTGGACAACTTCACTTCCAAGGATTTATTTCTTTTTCACATAAGCTGCTCTGAAAACTGATTTGCATCCGGGCATGAGAAGTAACTGGCTACAGAAACCTTTTTGATCGTAGCGGTAACCCTGCCCTGAGCTTCTTAGTAAGCAGCGGTGCGAGGGGCCGGCCGCCCACACTTCTCCCTCCGCCCCTCGTTCCCCCGTTGCTCCCTACACAGGAGCCTCGTGGTCTGCTGCGAGTGGCGCGTCCTCGCTGTCGTCCCGGCTTGCCCTTCGGCGTGAGCTGGCAGAACCACAGCTGTTCGGTGTCCACCTCCATTCCACTCAGGGCCTGGCACACCCTGGACAAGTGCAGTGCTGAGTGGCCATGCCGAGGAAGGACACGTGGCTCCATCTGACCACCCTGGCCGTGGACGCCATCGCTCAGATGTCCACAGGGCCTCCACAGGTCAGCTTTGCTGGCTCGATGCTGAGGCCCCTGTACTTGCTGGCCTTGTGCGCCGAGGTCACGCTGTGCGCCTGGGATAGTTGCGGACAGTGCCCACCTGCCTGTCCTCGGCAGCCTTCGCCTTCTCCCTCTGCCGTGCCCGGCGCCCCGTGCATGCGGCCGGCCTCTCCGATCTTGGACGTTTAGTCTTCATTGGAAACATGCATTCTTCTTTGATCTTCTGCAAGTTGTGCCGGCAGCATGATTTGGATTTAAGCACCACGCCATATATAAGGAGGTGTGCGTTGTGGGTAATTTGCAACATGGAACGCTCCTCTTCCACGTCCTTGTCACAGCTCTTGCGTTTTACACCGTGTCAGTAGCTTTGACTTTTCTCTCCCAGGAACGTAAGACTCCAGGCGTCGTTTTTGTGCTCACGGAGAGGGAGAAGAGACTGAGTGGTGCTTTCTGTGCCCTGCTGAGGTGCACTGGCCCGCGGAGTCCTGCATCTCTGTGCTGCTGGAGCCAGAGGGACGCAGAGCTCGGGGGTGCCGGAGTCCCTGACAGCCTCCCGCCTGCTTTTCAGTTCGGAGACAGATACCACAAACACTGCAACGTTTCCTAAGGTTCCGGCAGGGAAAGGGAATTCCCTAAGTGCCAAAGCGAGGACGGAGTGCAAGAGAACACTTTGCTTCTTCGAAGGTGCTGGGCACAAGCGTTTGTTGTTCTTGGGCGCGAGAGTTGGGTTTTAACTGTGTGGCGACAGAAGGTGTGTTCCTCAGGGAGCTGGAAGGGCAGCCCTCGCCTCACGGGCTGGTGCCGCGGGAGAAAATAGAGTTGCTCGGAAACCGTGGGAATGTTTTTAGTTTTTTTTTTTTTTTCTTAATTGAAGTGACACTGGCTTAGAAGGAAGTAACATTACCAAGGAGCATGCCCCAGCTCCTGGGGGCCTGCAGGGGGCAAGCCTGTAGGAGTCAGGGGACAAGTGGCGCGGCAGCGGCCTTACTTGGTGAGCTCAGTCTTTCTGAAGTTCAGTCGGTTTTGTGCTCCCTGGCAACGCTGAAGGTGTTCACCTATGGCCTCGAGTCTGGCAGATGACGGCACGCTGGTGACTGCCTCCTGAAGACACTTTGCAGGTCCCAGTCAGGTGTGCACGCCTGGACGCCCGCCCTGGGTGGACGCGGCGGTGACAGTCACCGACACAGCCCCCACTGTGCCGCCTGTTCCTGGCCGAAGCTGGCCCCTGTGCGGGCCGGGGGGGGGACGACCCGAGGCCATGCCGAAGGCCCCCACAGGCTCGTCTTGCCCCCTCGGGGGACTCAGCGGCCGCCTTGCCTGCATGTGCTGGGCAGGCGTCGCCTGTGCCGGGTGACCGGCTGACCCAGCGCTCAGCGGTGCGGCCGCAAGGCGGCCGTGTGGGCCTGAGCGCCTCCTGGAGCCCAGGTCTAAGCCTCCAGATTGAAATGCTCTTTGTTTTTTCTCTTTGAAGCTCTTTTAAGAGCCTGTGCCGATGGAGGTGCCAACCGCTTGTACGACATCACTGGAGGAGAGCGGACGAGGTAGGCTCCTTCAGCCCCACCCCGGTCTGATCGTCTGCTTGGTGAACGGTGACTGTTCGTTTTCCTCAGACTCTTCACAAAGCCCTCCTTAGCGAGGCGCTGCATAACTGTGACCTGTTACTGCTTTGCTTTGGATGGTTTCTCTTAGTAGAACTAGACAAATCCTATTCTTACGTAGAAAAGCCCATTCTCCCACTGCAAAAGCCTGGGGAAGCAGCGAGATCCAGTACTCGTATTATGAGGACTGTAAACATTGACTAAATAACATTCCAGTGGTCATTTGAGCTAATGTTCAAACAGCTTAAATGAATAAAAACTCATAAATGAAATGTATATTCTGATGTCAAGCATGGGAAATTTTCATATGAGTGTTCAGTGAAGTCCGCAAAATGCACGCTAACTCAGTCGCTTCTTAGTTCACACACACATGCGCACGCACACTCACACACATATTTGGGCATAAATAATGTGTTTCTTAATGAGTTGTTATCTGTCCTGTCTGGTCTTCCTGATATTGGCCCATGGAGCTATTTTTAAATAAGAGAAATGCTTGACGAAAGCAAAATTTAAACGTAGTTCATGCCAACATGTTTATAGTTCACCCTCTTGGCAAGCCTAAGAATTTATAGTCTAGAATATAAGCAGACTAGCTGTGAAATTTAGTTCCCCTCCTAGCATGTGCATTATCATATATATGAAATGTTTATAGTTTAAAAACATCCCCTCGCTGCAAAAAAAAATAAAAGTATATGATGTAACATACCGCCTGGATGAGTTAAATGCATGTATTTTGTAATGATGTATTATTCTTTATGGCACCAACATTTTGAACTTGGGTTTCTACAATCCAAACTGCTCTTCTGAAAGCAGCTGGTGCTTGGAGAGAGCAAGCTCCCTTTGAGATGGGGCAGTGGAGACAACACAGTTCTTCGCGTCTGCACTCCTTTATTTTCCACTTGATGGATTCCTCTGGTGACTGGACGTGGACAGTGTGTGAAAAAATATCCAAGTATGCGTTACAGAAAGCACCTGGCCAGTAGGGGGGAGCGTGATGTGGGGGCACCTGGGCCTGGCGTGGACGGCCACGGAGAGCAGCGTGGCCCGCCACGGAGAGCAGCGTGGCCCGCCACGGAGAGCAACATGGCCCGGGGTGGTGCAGGCCACGGCGGCACTGACCTCGGCTAACCGCCACTGAGCACGCCCCGCTCGATGGCTGCTAAGCATTTGCCTTTGTCCCAACTCTCAAAGTCACCTCTCGCTACCAGGCCTTTTTTCTAATAATCCTAAATGTTTTTTCCTCCTGTGAAAAATGCATGACGATTGAATATATGCTAATGAGGTGAGAGAAAGGAAAAGAAAACCAGGAAGTTGCCCTGGCTCTTGTCGATTGGTTCTACCTTTTGGCAACAGGAAATATGATTAATTTTTCTGTAGTTATTTGCTCAAACATTTGTGGGTAAATGTATCATTGATCGCAGTTACTCTTTATTCTCTCCCCATATTTTTGAGTGACTTTGATCAGTGACCCACACTGATGAATTGTGCTCTGAGAGCTGACGGATTCTGACTTGGGTGTGGATCCACTTTGTACATCAGTCTCAGGAGGATGGAAGCCCAGTCGGGAAGACATGGGTGGCCACCACCCATTGACAGTTTTTGTCTTTTTGTCCTCAAGAAAACCTGTAGTATACTAGAAGAGAAAATCAGTATTCAGCATGATAAATCATAAGGCAAACGATAGTATGGGAGTTCATAGGCTCTTTGACAAAGGAAGACACTGAGGATGGACAGGTAATGCAGACTGGGGATATTAGATGCCATCCTGAGACTTCTCGTGGGGTAAGGTTAGGGCTCCAGAGTCGTGTGGTATGAGTTTAAGTGCCTGTATGACTGGGGGTGGGGGAGGGGAGGTTCTCCTTCGTGTTCTGTAAAAAAACTGATGACCTTGAGAATAAGGGTTTGGCAAAGTCTCCGTCTCAGTGAAGGATAGAAGTAGACTTTCATTAGTAAATTTCTTGTAGCAAATGCAGATGATGAATTATAATGATGTGCATCTGAAACTTACTTATACCGCAATAATTCAATAGAAAGGCATTTAAAAAATAAAGACCATGCTGTATTTTAATTATCTTCTCAGCCTCGTCCGGTTTCCTTCATTTTCTTCTTCTGTTCCTCTTTGCTACCTCTGCGGAGGCCCTTTCTCAGGGCTCTTCAGCCTGTGCTCACTGGCACCGCAGCCGTGCGTGCAGTCTCCCCAGCCACGCTGGCCGTCCGTTCTTGTGGCCGCTGTGTGGGCCTGACCCTCCGATGGCTGAACTGCACGAGCTGGCCTTTCTCGCTGCCCTCTCCATGCAGTAGAGCTCAACTAGCTAGCCTCTGCTTCCAGCCCCATGGTACTTGAGTCTCATGCGCCAGAGTACCACTTCGGTGTTCACATTTCACCTTGATTCGAGCTAGAAAGATCTCCCCTTCACTAGGTTATAAATTTTTAATGATCTGTTGTCCTTTAACTTTGCATAATACTTTGTAATTATTTACTCTTTTGTTTATCTTGTGATTTAGCTGCATGTAGCTGTATCTCATCTCCCTCACTGGTGGGGAGCTTCTTGAAGGCAGTAATCATAATTCATCTTCTCATGCCTCATAATAGCTTGTAGTAATGAGCAGGAACATTTATTGAATTAATGATTTTTCATTGATATCTTAGCAGAAATGTCACAAAGACTAAGCTTTCGTTCAGCCAGGAGATTCTAAGCTCTAGTAGCTATTGGAAATATCCTGATGCTAGAGAAGAAATATTGAGTAAGTGTATATCTTATTAATAGAAGATAAGGTGCCTCATACCTGAAAAGATTATCCATGTTTTGTCCAAAATCGTGTGTAATTTATGTCTCACTTATTTCCAGAATATTGCATATTACATAGCGTTGGCAATGCATTGATTTTTAAGAAATGTTTGGACCTAACTTAAAAGCATAGTAGATTTTCCTTAATTGAAGTCACATTGTATCACAGCATTTCCTGAGTTAAAGTGTGTACCATTATAAATCAACATCAGTACACCTTGCATTATGTTCATCCTAAAATGTTCAGTTGAGATAAGGCTTTTATCATGAAATAAATATCCTTGCTGTTAAATTGATTGGTATTTTGAGAACAATATGAATATAAATTTTGAAGATGGGAATGTTTATAAAAAAATTACTTTCATGGACTTAAGAGCTTGTAAAAGTTTGCTTACTGTTCTGGAATTAACCACGCATCATGGTGCTATTAACGTGTGGTAGTTTGAAAGGGGAGTGGTGTTTATAGGTTTGCTACCTCAGGGCTGCTGAATCCTGAATGGGAAGTCTGACAGAAGACAATCTGTGTATGAACATTGTTCTTGTCTAATTCAAATGTTTAGGAGATTTTGTTCATTGTAAAGCACGGCAGAGATTCCTTGCATGGACGTGAATGGTCATTGAGGTGCCGCAGGGCTCTGGTCAGTGGGGGCTCTTGGAGGACCTGAGAGGATGAAAGGGGCACGGGCTCCTGCCTCATCTCTTCTTCCTCCCACTCTGCTGATGTCCTCAGAGCCAAGAGTCCAGACTTTCTGGTTTATACATTCCAGCAACTTTCTCAACAGCAGATCGGTAACCACCTTTCAGAGTGACCAAGTGAGAAGAGGAGGGGCTGTTTTAACTCTCACTCCCTGGCTAAACCAATTTTCAAATATAAACAACCAGATAATGTGGGAGGCTAGCTGTTAAAAATCAGCTTCTAAAGTATATTTCAGTATAGGTAAACTGGCCATCCACAGCAAGTATCTGATACCCCCTCAGGCATCAGTCTGTCTCCATAGCAGCAACGGTGACATCTTGTTCTCTCAGCCCTTTAGGCCTGCACCCGTGGTTGGACCAGGATTCAAAGTCTGATCGTGCAGCGTGATCGTGGGAGATGCTGGCAGATATTTCCTCTTCCAGGCTCTGCTATTTCCTCATCACTGATGTTTCAGAGAGATCCCAGTTTTCTGAGGGTCTCTTTTGGGAATATTCAGAATATTCTAGAAACATATCACTTGGACTAGCCATAAGAGATTTGGGTCTATTGAGAGGTTGTAGGATGACTCTTCAAAGCTGTAGCAAATGAAATACAATGTAGCTGGGTGTGTGCAAAAAGCAGTTTTGGGCTGTGAATATTATTGTTTTTATTTATGCATACAGCGCTGGGGTACAGGCCAGAGTTGGGGGCGGGGGAGAGAGGATTCACCAGAGACAGAGTAGGGAGCAGAACAGACAGATCGATGAAGTACACTGCTGAGCGGAGCAGCAAGTGAGGCAGAAGAGGTCTGCCGCCCCTGTGGGTCACCTCCGGGGCGGGGATCGAACTCGCGCTGACAGAGCTGCCGCCAGCTTGCAGTGCTGCACCCTAACCCACTGCGCCACCAGGGAGGGCCCAGCTGTGAGTATTGTATAGGCAGTAACTGTACGACTTCTGGGAAAGGTAGTGAGCACTTTGATTGTGGTTGAGTGAAGGGATTCATTCTTTGGCTTCTCATGTTCTTTGATTTTAATCAACTTATTCAGGAGTAACTTCATGCAAGAAAGTTCTTCCATTCAGAGCATATGGTGCCGTTAGCGTTGAGGTGTCATGCGTGCCGTCCTCCCCCAGGGCAGGTAAGACCTGGCTATTACACCTGCCCTGCCCTCCCCCAGTTCCTCTCACACCTGGGCTCCAGTGACCCGCTAGAATGTCATAGAAATCCTGGTTTGCTGTCTTTGGTTCTGACTTTGTGTTTCCTGTGTGGCCTCCGTCACTCAGAGCAGTTAATGGGCAGCGCTTTTAGGACTTGCTCTTTGGCAGAATTTGTTGTCATTTTTCCAGGTGCTTCTTTGGGAGGAATGTCAGTTCTTTTGGTTAGAAACCAGCAACATTTCAAAGTTGTCAGTTCAATCCTGGAGTCTATAAACAGTAGAGACTGTGTGAGGTCTGTAGTTGTTGCATCCTAATGACAGCAG